TATGGTTATCAATTGATTATCCAGCTTCAATGTTCGATGAATATGATAGTCCTACATTTCGTACTAAACCTGATGATTTTCGGAATATGGCAAGTCCATTCTTTCAGTTCATCAGTTCATCTTGTCAACTATCACTACAAGCAATCTCCACTCAATTACTCGCATTTTATTCGACAACATTGATTACTCCAAAGTTGATTAGTCCGGAACAATTTCAAATTCAAATTAATCAGCTTATTTCAGGATTTATTGAAAATACTGCCCAAGTATTTCTCAATTCATTATTACTAGCCAATAATATGACACGAGCGAATATGTTAATATCAGGACTGTCAAGCGATTCAATATTAACTCTTTATCCAGATTATTATTATAGGATTTACTACGATTACGAATATGTTTATGATAATACAGATCAAGTATATAATGCAACATTGTCTGGAACTAACTGTGATTGTCAGTATTCATCTTGGTGTAAACAACAAGCGATAGTCTATTACATAGATGCAATAACATACCTTTTTGTTATACCAGGTAAGTACAATTTTATGAACCAATATATATATATACATATGGGGGAAATATTTTTATGTCTTATTAGGCATATTCGTTGGTTGTTACGTCGTTGAGGCAGTATTACAAAGTGATCTACAATGTTTCTATAATTTTAGCTGTCTACAAGAATTAAGTGATAAATTGATGATAAATATAAGTGAATCTGATGTTCTTTCATTAAATTCATCACGTTATCAAATGGATACATCAATGTTAGAGATTATTTCAAACTTAATGGTTGAAGAATGGAATAATCGAACATCCTACAGCATATATTTTAATCGATGTCAACCAAAAAGCTGTACAGCAACTTATATTGGTCGTGGTGATATTGTGTATATTGTCACAACAATGATTACTCTCATCGGTGGCCTAACAACACTATACAAATTCCTTGTACCAATAATTGTCAGCGTATTTATGAAGATAATCATTCCATTTATTACACAGAAATTCAATCAAAATAATGTTACTCCAACAATAGAAACTATTCCTTCTCCACGCATTCCCATTTGATTTTCTCATTGTAAGCTTATCGTCTTTTTTTCCTCTGAATTACAAATATCATGCATTTTTTGTATTAAAATTGGTATTGTGTAAAGTAACTTTGTTCTGTCGTTTTCGTATCAGTAAGATCTATTATTCTTCTATGTTCATTTTCTTATCTCGTAATTCTACGAGAACTATGCTTAAAAATCGTATTGCTTTTCATGTTTATTTATACACGCTTTTATCAACACTTTTCGTATAATGAAATGTATCTGAAGAGTTTGTTTTCATTTACCCGATTCAAAATATAATAAAAAAATGAATTCCAAAAATCTGACAAAAAATAAAACAATTCGATCTGTTTGAAAACTCAGACTGTAGTGTTTTTGAAAATCGTATAACTAGAATGAATCAAGTTAGACATTTTTTATTTATCTATCAAAAGCGTATTCAGAAAGATTTAAATTCTTTTGTCGTTACTATCGTCTCAATTAATTCTTCAATAAAACATTGTCTCAATGACATTTACTTCACTATATCATATGTCACTTCTGGTCTAAATTATTCACTGCAGCTCTTTTAAAATTAAATCATGGATATATACAATCAGTTATATAAAAGTCAGTTGCTGTCAATATTCGAAAAAGTTCAAATTCTGACAAATATTTATGTGCGGATCTACTTATCCATTTTCCACATGAAAATATCCATGTGTGATTAAATTTCCGTATATTAATTTCTACGTATGTTAATCATCAATCTGACCCAAAATCTGAATTATTATGACCAACTTTAAATAAAGGTAAGAGAGTGAGTCAAAGCAAGCTACGACATGTTTTCGACCTTGCTTAAGGGTCTCATCGGATAGTTTTGACTTAGTTAGATTTTCTGACTAAACAAAAGATTCTACAAGAAACAAGATTTTATTCTAAAGATAGTCAAAAAAGACACAGAATATTGTAAAGTTTTGGTGATATTATATCAAGCGACCGATTGGAAAGAGAATTGAAAGTTACCTTCAGTCAAGATGAATATATGAAGGCTTAGCGAGTATATCGATCTATGAACTCTAATGTTTTTCATTTGAGCATCTGAGCAAGTTGTGTTTGTTTTTCTTCTTATTCGATGATTTGCAGCGCATTCATTTGTTGTAGTTCTTATAATTCATATTTCAACAGCTTGAAATCTTCGGGAATATGAAATGCGCGTCAGTCATTCGGTTGTTTTATTCTAAGGGGTGGGTGTGGGTATTTTTTCCATTTATGAACCACACCCACACCCACTCCCTCATCAAATTTTAGTTTATTTGGAAAAGATTATTCATAAAATTAATTTTGCCATAGGATATTTAATCTACGTATATTTTCTTTACATACAGGTTGATTCCGTTCGACATTCGCGATGCGATTCGATGTGTGCATCAATTACGAAACGCTTTTTTCTTTCCTGTTGAATCACAGTTAGATTCTTTGACTACGTTCGATTTATTAAAATTCAGTTTAAAAAAATGTCTTGTAATGAAATTTATGCTCAAGATCCATCATTTTGTTTATAAATATAAAAAATAAAGCTATTAAAAATAACGGAATCAATCTGTAGATATATATCAACTTTTATCGAAAATTATAACACGTGTTAAGCACAAATACTTATTTTATTTTCTGATCTTTCTTCCAAAAAGAAAATGATAGAACAAAGAATAATAAACAAAAAGTAGTGACTAATCGATATTCGTTTGTATATATGTCGAATAGAAGAAAGAAAACTCTGTTCTTTCACAATATTACACTCAGCCGATTTTGTATACTTAAGAAAACATTTACAATTTATATTTACTTGCTGAATAAATATGATTCAAATCAAACAACAACTAAGTTCGAGTTAATCGATTGATATGAAAATGAAAAAGCTACGAAGTAAATTGAAAATATATTAGAGCATAATTTTTTTTCATTTTTTTTGTCTTTAGCAAGATTGAATGACAAAAGGTAGTCAATAAACGCATCTGTTTAAATGTATAATTTTTTGTTTTCAGTACATCGTATACCTGCTTTGAAAATTCATCAAATGAACTTTTGTACGAAATATTCGAATATCTTGATGCTTATGATATATTAAAATCATTTGCAAATCTTAATATTCGTTTACAAAATCTTATCATTTCTTCGTCAATTTTACTTCGAATAAAACTTGATTTAAAATCAACATCTCTACTCGAATATCGTTGTCAACATGTTATTATTCCAAATTCACACCGTATTCGTTCCATTTGTTTGCATGATCAAATACTGATTGAGAAGTTCTTTGATCATTGTACTATTGACTCATCATTTTATCGTCTTGAATCAATTACTCTCAGAAAAATCGAAACAGAGACACTACTCACAATTCTTTCTTATTTAAATTCTTTACCTCGTCTCTTTTCACTAGCCATTTGTATAAATGATGATGATGATGATGATTACTATGATCTTGGGAATATTTATCAATTAATTTTTTCTTTACCTTCATTAAAATATAACAAACTATATTCACCTGGTGATAAATTACAAATTAATATTCCACATGTAATCAATAAAAAATTTAGTACGATCGAACATCTGGTTCTTAATTATCGTTGTACTCTTAATCAACTAAATTCTCTACTTCATTACACACCACAACTTCGTCATCTGTTTTGCAATGGAGTAATTAGATCAGATAAAGATTTCAAAAACGATCAATGGATGAAATTACCACATTTAAAATCCATTCGTTTTGATGACGTTGCTGCTTCGTTTGATGAATTTGAAGTGTTTATTAAGGAAATATCCTCTCAATTGCAAGTACTGAACATTAGTGAACCTGAAAATAAAACTTATCTTGACGGTAATCGTTGGGAACGATTAATTAAAGAATATATGCCTCAATTAAAAACATTCTACTTTCGTTTTACTCAGAATATTAAAAATAATATGAAAACAAATTTAATTGATTCAAGTGATGGATTCATTAATCGATTTAAATCACCATTTTGGTTAGAACGAAAATGGGTTTGTGAAATAGAAGTATATTGTGGATCATGGGTTTTTTTAATTCGTCCATATAAGTATATTCAGAGAAATCTTTCATAAAATGATTCCATATATCTTTTTGTTTTTTCTTTATTAGAAAAGAATGGATCGATCTTCATGAACATATGAATACTGGCACGTATTTGAAAGAAAATTCGATAGAAGATAATTATATTTCTAATCCAGAAAAAACTGACCATCGTATTATACAATTAAGTATCGAGGATTATGAATTTACCGAACTTAATTGGCGATTTATTAATAAATTAAAATCTGCTTTTCAAGCAATTCAATTTACTCATTTAAATATAAAGAATGATAGCATATCTATGAACATGTTACCCGATATTCTACGTCTGTTGCCAAATATTGAATCATTAAATTTGACATTTATGCTGTCGATGTTTCCGTTAAAATCTTCATCTATTAAACATACTAAAAATCATCTATCAGTATCGGTTATTAACAAAATAACAAAAGTCAAACTTGGTCAAGTTACAGAAGAAGAAGAAATTGAATTTTTTATCAATCTTTGTCCACAAATAGAATATCTTGAAGTACACTGTATGTCAAATACAGATGTCCCATTACTTATGAAATTTATTTCAGTGAATCGAATGACACGTATTCCTAATCTTTGCTACCTGTGCTTCGATTTTCGTATGGCAGATGAAAACTTGGTTAGAACTTTAGCAAATATAATCGATTCTGACACAGTTATTGATAACTATACGATTCAGCGTAGTGGCAACAAAATAAGTGTGCATTGGAAATCATAAAAAAGTATATATCGTGAAAATTGACCTGCTTTTTATCTTTCTTTTTTTATAAATAAAAATAGTACGGTTGGTACACAACATTAGTTAAAATCAGTTGTTTCATATTTTGCGACATATTTTCTTAATAGCTCGGACTCGGAAGTTCGATAACGTTGACTCCAGTCATTTACTTGAACAGACTTTTTCATTTGCTCTTATAAAAAAAAACTACAACTTATAAAATCAATTTTTCTATAATTTACAACTATCAATCTGATTGAATATACTGCGTTTAAAAGTTTTATCAAGATCTTTTTTTAAGATTATCCATAGATTCGTAAATATCAGTATAACTGTATTACTAAAAATATGCTTTGTCTCGTTCTATATTATTTTTGATCGTCTGTGAAGAGAATCAGACATTAATTCATGGATAAGAAATTTTTTAATCACCAAAATTGTGTAACTGCGATGTGATTATTGAACAATTAGTAATTCGATCACCGAATTAACCATAAATGAAAATAAGAATAAGAAATAGAGAGTAGGTGTAGATGTGAGTTGTTGTGAATCTGGATGGGAATGGTTTTATCAAATGTAATACATACCCACATCCTTACGATGGCATCTATGGTGTGTGTCAATTGCAACTAAATCTTATAATTCTGAGCTCAGCTAACGATCAAATCCAATAAGAAACTTACTGTAGTCCTATTAATATCGCATAGACTCAGATTGCGGTCTCTAGTATTGAAATTAGATTAAGTCGATATACATTTTAATCTTCTACTGATTAGATGATAATTTTGCTCCTAAACACACCGGATGAACGCCGATATATGGCTATTGCGATTGGTTTGTAGCTGTGCAATATAGACATTTTTTCTTTCTTTGTTCTTATTTTCAATTAAAATGAATGAAGTAAATTTATCCGCTGCAAATACATCTATCGGCAATTATAGATTTTAAAAATCTGTGAAGCTAAATCATCATATGATTTCAATACATTTTTATTCCACAAACAAAATACAAAAGTAAATATATATATAGAAACAACGCTATAAATATCGATAGTTCTTTTATTCTTCATGTATTGCTTCTTTTTTCATCAAATCGATTCCATATGTTCATTCAATTGTTTATTAAACTCATCATATTTGCAATGAGTTCACCATTTCTTTTACGAATTTCGCTATTTTTCTTTATCAGTGCTGCATTTTGTTTAATAAGTTCACGACTTCTTTTAAGAACTTTGCCATTTTTCTTCATAATTTCGCTCCTTTTTTTCATCAGTGCTCGACTTGTTTTTATAAATTCACGAGTTCTTTCAATAATTTCTTGATTCCTATCGATAATCTCTTGATTTATTTTACTAATTTCACTATTATTTTCTATAAAAATTGTATTATTGTAATTTAATATTCCACTAATTTCAATAATCATATCTGTTGACGACAGCTGAATAGTTTCATCATTCTAAAAAGACAATATTTTTCCTATAAAATCAGTGATTTAAATCAGAACAAAATCAATAGTTTTTTTTCAATCCAAAGCATTAATCCTTGCTAAATCAAACTTACGGTATTCGATTGTGAAGAGCATTTGTTGAAACACATGATAGTTATCTTTCAGATGATTGAGATTCATTTTTTCTCTTTGATATTTATATTAAATAGGTGTCCGTATATCGATAGTGACCTCTTCTTTGTAATTAGCAAACAAAGTCAGATCAGTCTGCTTCGTCTTGTCGTTGTTGTTTATCAGATGCAAAGTGAAGCATTTTCGCTATAGCCTTTTTTGACATTGTTTGTTTCTTCTCGGTCGTGTCATTCATATTGGACGAATCGAATAGGATATCGTTTTTGATTACATATGTTTTCATTTATCAATTTTGAATGTTGCGTTGAAGATTTTGTAGGTTATATCAAGATGAGTAATTTTATTCAAATAATGTATCGCATCAATGGATACGAAAATTTTGTTTTGTACAGAAAGTACTTGAAAACATGAATCAGATATATATTATACATATAAAACAGAAAAAGGAAAACATTTTAAGCAGATAAGTTTCTTTTCTTTGGTGCCTTTCGTTCTTGCACGATATTTTTTCATTACTGTTGCTCATCTATCCCCACGCATATTCTATAGATCAGTCTGTTTTTCATTACTCTACATCATAGTTTAATATAAACGTTTCATCTTCCGCTTTAGTATATTTATGAGCTTATAATAGAATAGTAAATAATAAAGCTTTCGGAATAGCATGAGTAAAATATGTTAATTTTAAAGTGTTGAATAGTTTCAAAAATAAGCAAAACATAAACGTTTCTAACGTCGTCTTCGTTGTCCTTCCCTGTGTGTTTCCGCTTGATCGTCATCCATTCCGCATGTACCCTCTGAACAACATGAACTCATTCCTGGATTTCGCATAACAGCACATTTCATCACATTCCAGTTACAACTCCAACAGTCAAGACCATTGACACCAGGTATCCAACTCAAAGCAGTACACTTTTCTACTTCCCAACAACTATCGTGTTCATCACAGCATCCACCATTCGGCCCGCAGCTGGAGAGTACCGCATCACATCCAGCATTTCTTCCAAGAAGACGCGGTGGTGGTGAAGTCCATCCCGACACATTTTCATGCGGTTTTGGCCTTTGTGCTGAATTTATCAAGTGAGCCGTTGATATTTGAAGAACCATTAGAACTAGTATGAGTTTGTTCATTACTTTCAACATAAACTTCTTATTTTACGAAGAACGTCTTAATTTTGTTTCTTTTTTTTTTACTTGAAAATATGTTTTATGGAAGCGCACCTGACTACTTATAGCACAAGCATAAGCACTTGTCGTTTCTTTCGTTCTTCCGAGAACAATCACAGCCTGCGATTTAAGCTACATATTTCTTTTTATGTTAATTCAAAAATAAAAATTATCATATCGCTGACGTGTTCACTACTAAGACGAAAACCTTGTATACTTTTTTATTTTTCAGAATCTCATTATGTGTCCGTATTTTTTTCACTTGAATAACAAGCATGATTTATTAAAAAAATGAATATTTAGAATCTATATTAAATGCTACATAGAAATAAGTACATGAATCACATCGATTCATTCGGTCCATTGACGATAAGTCCAGTTAGTATAGTGTCAGTCACGAGATTTTATCAACTAATAATAACTGAAATGTGCAAAAAGCTTCCCTAAGCTATTCCACTTTAATGCATTTTTCACATAGTTTGTGTTAAGTCCAAGCTCATGAGAAAGTTTCTATTACACATGATCGCCGATTTTGCGCAGTTCATAAGGCATGTAAAATTTTGAGAGGTGTGAGTGTGGATAAAGATACTAAAGTTTACACCCACACCCTCAAGATAAAGTTTAGTTTCAAAGAAGACTTTTTCTACATGTATGAACAAAATTAAGTAAAATAGAATGACATATTATCATATATGCTTACAAGAAAATTCTACCGAAAAGGACTGCGTGTTGGTTAATATCTGTTCTCATAATTGGTTAAGAAAATGTGAAAAGTAACTTCAGGAACGAATAAAACTGTTCGCTGTATTGATAAATAAAAACGATTAAGTAAAACTTATACTAAAAATAAGAGAAATATTTTATCAACTGTCACCTATTTAGTTTGAAGACGTCATAGAAGAAGCAGATCATCTAGTAGACGATTCTTGTTTTACTACGTTAGTTTGCACCAGTTTCATCTTCAGTCTCTAAAAACACGATGAGATTCGAAGATTGTTTAACGTAGGATAGCGTCAGATTGTGTCCTATGACAACAAGTAACGCTCGTCCGAGGACTCGCTTAACTCTTTCTCGTAGAAATGCATTTTCTTCACATTTATTGAAAAAACAACTGAAAACCGTGAAAAATCGGTTTTCGATGTTTTTTTTTGGACCATTGCCTGTGTTCAGCCCCTCCCCTATCATTATGGTTACCTACACTCACACCCTTCGAAGTCCCTGCATTAAAATACCTCCAGAAATGTCGTTTTCGAAAAATCGATTTTCAATGTTTTTTGTACCCTGCGGACAGACAAGCAAGCAAGCAAACAAACAATTAATGTTTACTGAACTCTTTTCTACGCGAATGAGAATAATCCTTAGAAAAAAATCTAGAATCTTCCATCGACGGTTAATTTTAGCATCAAGAGTAAAATAGTTTGAAAAGCAGAACATACATCATTCTGACACTAACAATAATGCAACGATGTAAATCAAATTATATGTGAGATATTTAAACTTTGAAGAGATAGCGGAAAACACAACACGTCGATTCCATTTCTCTTCGACTGAATAACTACGTAAACAAAGACGAGAGCTCGAGTTTTTCTCCTTTTAAGTTCGTCGTCTTCGTCGATATGATGTCATCATATCAATGGCAAAGGTTTCCATAAGCACTAAAAGGATGAGAAAGAGATTTTGACTATCGATGATAGATAGGCATGATAGAATAGCTCTAATGATGATGGAATTAGAAGACATGTCCTGAAAAAAGTGAACTTCATACAAAAATCTATTTCTATGGCTGAAACTATCATTTAATATTGTTTGACGAAGGATCAAACACATTATGCAAATAGGAATAATATCTCAATTTATAGTAAACGCACTTTAATCATACCCTTTTATCGTCAAAAAAATTAGAAATATTTCAATGATACATCGGCTACGTGATGCATATTATATAAATGCGTAAATAAAAATTTTTTTTTCAGATAAAATAGTCTTTATATCTCTACTCTTCCTCGGGTAAGGATTTCTTCTAATGGAGAAGTGTTTGATTATGAAGTGTAATTCATCTGATCAATTCTGATATCATGTGTTTTAATCTGTATTTTTATCTTACAATCATTTTTTACTTTTTCCTATGTTTATGAGAGAAGTACTGCTCATTTTTTATTCGGTTCACAAACAAAAAAAGTCGAGCAGACAAGGAGAATAAAAAGGCAGTAGCGCATTTCTCCAAAATAACAAGTGAGGTGAATCGGCCTCCGATCCACTCGTCTCTAGACTAAACGTTGATCATATCTCTATTAGTAGCAGTATTGTTCTTCTTGTAAATACATTCTTAATTCAGAACTCACCTTATCACCTCGTATTGTCCAGGGGTCTGACTGATATCAAATTCTGCTTGTATCTCAGTTAAAGAAGATATTCTCTCAAACATATCGATAGCTGAGAATAATCTCATGTGATAGATTTATTTGTCCTTCGTTAAGATACTTGGAGCAGTCCAAAATTAGTGAGGGCGGCACCTTATTTACTTTTTTTACCAATAGATAGAGTGTGTTTCGCTCTTTTTTCTATGCTATCTGATTATTTCTCGCTTTCTAATAAGTTAATGAAATTTCGAGAAAACTTTTGTTTGCGTACGACTTCCTAGTAGCAGAAACTAATATTTTTGTTCATACATTATTCTTTTTCGTTTTTTCGTGCGTTTTTCTTCTTCTTATCATTTCTTACTATTTAATTCCACGTGTTTTACTTTGAAACAGAAGTAGGCATGAATTTAGTAATTATTCCACTAAATGTTCAAAGTCATCACCATGATAATCTATACACAGCTGCATCCTTTCGATCCATTTTTCGAAGGTCTTTTAGTACTCATCGCGATTTAAGGAGTGCATGAACTCGGTTATAGCGTCATGATCGGTTAGATTATCTTTGATCAAGTCAAATAATCAGAAGTCGCACGGTCACAAGTCTGAATTATTCGGTGGGTGAGGTATTACCAGAAGGCCTTCTGGTTCAAGATCATCCTGAGGGTGTGGCTAAGGGAGTTTTCTTTCATTATCTACACTTTCGACCACACCCATCCCACATCCTCACATCCACACCGACACGCACACCCATCCTCTAGACAGAAGGGATCCAAAAGCAATTCATTACGAACTTATGAAATCGTTTGCTTTCGTCAGACTCGCTGAGCATGATGTGTTGACTAATATTTTCTACTTAATTTCTATTATAGAGTATTTGATTGAATCCCCGCTGAAACATCGTTTTCTGGCTTACTCATAAAAGAATAATGGTTTTATTATCATATATTGGTCAACAATTGACAATTTTCCTTGGTTCGTTTCTTCTCATTACTGGAGTGATCGGAAATATAATCAATATTTTGGTATTCTCAAGTGTTCGATCGTATCGTACAAATCCTTGTACGTTCTATTTTCTTGTCGGATCGGTTTTTGATATTATTTATATGATGATGAATCTCGTTTCTCGTATGGTCATATCCGGTGTTGGAGTTGATTTAACTCGTACATCTGTGAGTTGGTGTAAAATAAGAAATTGGTCTCTTGCTACTCTTAGCTTAATAAGTTTTAGTTGTTCATGTTTGGCTACAATCAATCAATTTTTTATGACATCACAAAGCGCATCTATTCGCCGCTTGAGCAGTATCAAATGGGCACCTCGAATTCTCCTCATTATGATCTTTGTGTGGTGTTGCCATGGAATTCCTTTTTTATTGTTCTACGATATATCACCACTTACCGGTACTTGTATTAGTACCAATTCTGCCTTTGCTGTTTATTTTCCATCCATATATATTCTCATACTCGATTGTACCATTCCAGTTTCAGTAATGATTGTCTTTGGATATCTTGCTTATCGAAATATTCGTTCGACACGAGCACTTGCTGAACAACAAGCTGATCGTCAGTTTACAAGAATGATTTTGATCGAAACAGTATTAGTCACAATCAGCAATGTGCAGTATGGAATTAATGGTGCTTATACTGTGATCACAGCTGGAATGAGCAAAGATGCGAATCGATTACAGATTGAGAATTTCGTTGCAACGTTATCAAATTTAGGGTGTTATTTATACTTTTCGGTAAGTTCGGTTAGCTTTACTTCGTTAAGAGATGAACTGATTTATTTTAGGGAAGCTGCTATGCGTTTTTACTTTCATCGAGTCGATTTCGTAAAGCAGCCAAGAAGCTTTTATTTTTTTGGCAAAACACAAACCAAATACATCCCTAATGAATAACTGGCAACGTAACCGAACATGTAAGCGAACAGACCAACAAATGATTTATAAAACTCTTCTCTTTGTCCGTTGATGTATTTTATGTTGTCTAGACTTTAGTAAATAAGTGACTTTTATAGTGTTTTCAAACAAGATTCCGTTTAAAAGGTGTAGGTGGGTGTGGTGCAATGTTGCTACCTCCTCTGCTTTTAGTAAGAAAGTTTCTGCTTTTAAAGGCTTATCTGCTTTTTTTCTGTCGTTTCTGCTTTTTCAATTTCTTTCTTCTTTTTAAAATCCTATCAATTTTTCATTTTTAACTCAATTTTAGTTCTAACACATCATTATTTTATATATATTCAATGAGTTTTTAGTGATGCATATTGTTGTTTTTTTTATCGTCTTTGTTGTAAAATAAAAATTTATAAAATGGTGATCTCGGATTTCCAATAATTAATAAAAACGTCTAGTATATACGTCACTTGCTGAGGCCGTTCATTACCGATATCTTTCTTTCTGAAGTATTTCCTAGCATTCATTCAAATCTTTCAATTCATTCTTGAGGGTGAGGGTATCTCTTCTTTTAATTCAGATTCATAGTCATACCCACACACCACCTTAGATTATAATACACTCTGCCGCACTTGATAAGAAGAACACATTGCTTCTTTGTGAATTTTTATATAATTTTCAATATTATAAAATCAACTTTTACTTTAAATTGGCTACATATGTTAGTTTCATCTTTTATTGCTTTTATTAGTTTGTTTAATAATCTTGAATATTTTCATCTGTAGTCGTTTTTTTTCATGAAAGATGTTCATCTATTATTATGCGCGAATAAATAATTTTACACTATGTCGAATTCGACTTATTCGAGAATAGTAAGTTTTCCGTCTGTGATTTTACTTTTTTTTATAGTCATATTCATTCCTTGACTTATCAAATCAAATAATCAATTTATTTATTTATTTAATCAATAAAAATCATAAAATCTCTAAATTTCTAAATAATAAATAAAAACATTGCACCCATCATTTTTTTAAATTATTTAAGAAGTTTTAATTCGAGTGGAATCAATGATGTATCATTCTCATAGATGATTTCGACCATTGCAGATAGATTATCTAAACTAATACGACCAGCTTCCAAAACAGCTGTCTCTTGTAATGTAGTACCAATTGTGGCTAATTTAATATCGCATGTATTCATATCGACTTTCTTTGCATTTAAATCAGCAACAGCATCAATAAAAGCTTCAAAACTTCGATAACCATAACCAAGTTGCCCAGAGAAATAACCTATTATTTTTATTTTTTCAAAACCAATTAAAATTAACTAAAAAATCTCCTTACCATCTGTTGGTACTAATTTCATATATAATGGATTAATACTTAAATATCCATTCGTATCAGATGCAAGTGTATATCCTCGATGTGCTTGATCTATATTTATTTCTCCATGATGACCAACATAGAAAAACTTTTGTTGAGTATGTGTATCCGATTTTGCACTAATCCATGATGATGTATAAATAGCTGTACCAATTGTTTTAGATGATAGATTAATCCATTGTACAGAAAGTGTTATAACATCTTCTGTTTCAATATTATATTGTGATTTAGCTACACCTGTGGAGCCCATAGCTGTAACACGTATAGGACGAGCTCGACCATGTAAGGACCAAACATGAAAATCAATATGATGACTATTAAGATAATAAGATATATCAGAAGATTTTCCAGCCCCTAAAATAAAACGATTATAATAAACGGTTTTAAAAACAAAATACTAAGTTTACATGATCGAAATGTATCTAATTGAAATTTTGGTTGAGACATAAAAGAATAAAAATATGAAAAATCACCAAGACTTTCTCGAATACGATCTCGAGCATCAGAATACATTGGATCGAAACGTTTATGAACTAGAGGAATAGCATAAGTAATTCAAATAAAAATTTAATCTAAATAAAACCTTCAATCATTACAAGTACATTCTTCTTTTTAGCTTCTTCATATAATTGTCGATGTTCTGCTAATGTTTTAACAGCTGGTTTTGTAATCATAACATGAATTCCACGTCGAATAGCTTCTAATGCCATTTCAAAATGTGTATCATCAGGTGTAAATATAACACAAGCATCACCTGCTTTAAATGTATCAAGAGCTTGAATATATGCTTGACTATCAATAGCATCATCACCAGGCCTAATATTTATATATATATTAAAGAAAATAATTAAGTATTTTATATATATCTACAGACCACCAATCCATTGTTAAATCCATTTCTTTATAAAAATCACCAATAGCTTGTTGCATATGATTTCGAATATCAGGAAATTTCTTTCCATTAGTTCCACATATACCTAAACGACCTGTTTTACCTCGACGACGTAAATCAATCAATGTTAATGCCACAACTATAGATTAGTGACAATTAATATAATCAACTAAATATATCTTTTTTCTAATACCTCCTTTACTCTTGTCTGATTTACTTGCTGTACCATGTACATAACCTGTTGTATATTCTCCTGAACCAATCATAAGTACATCAACACGAGATTTTTGTAATTCAGTCATATTTTTTAGGTATCTTGTACAATACAACGATGTTATAATAGTTATTTAGATTTAATAAGATAGATAGGATACACGAAATTTGACTCGGCTTATTTTTCGTTTAGTCTTATCGAGTCATCGTTTCTTTGTATCTATTTTTGGTAAAAGGTAAAATAAAATAAAGCACATTTGGTTAGTGAATACACTAATAGGGTTACATTATTTCTATACTCCATCTATCGATTTTATTGTATGAAATATGTCATATAGAACATTTCTTTATAGTTTTTTGAATTCATATCAATCAGAATTGTACAATATGAATTTGATTAGTAGAGTAATTCACACAAAACTCAACAAAATTTGCTTAACATAATGATTATATGTTTAAAGGTTTCTTGACAAGAGTAAATATTGTCTTCTAACGCCATCTACAATAATGAATCAAATGGAATGGATAATGGGATAACCAATTTAAATAAATTATTTTGTATTCTTTCTTCCACATTTTTTTTTCAATTCTATTATTAGTATTATTAGAGAATACCTTTACAGCCTATATTATCATGGAACATAGTTTTTTTCTCTCAATCATATATAACTGATGCTGTGCTTATGAGAAAAATCATGTTATGCATTGTTTTTCATTTAGATTAATATTATTTTTTTTACACTGAATGTCTACAAAAGCGAATGCAATCACTGGATATACTTATGATGATTTGATGCTTAAACATGAATGTCCATGGGCAAAAGATCATCATGAAAGTCCTCGTCGTTTATCATCAATTCTTGATCGTTGTCGTGAATTAAATTTATTTGATCGTTGTCTTTTTGTTAAGTCTACTCCAGCAAATGATAATGATATTTTATTATATCATAATGAAAGTTTATTGAAAAAATTATCGAAAGCACCCGTTCAAAATATTGAACAATTAAAACAAGTCTGTCAAGAATATGAAGATGTTTACATGAATGAAGTAAATATAATACAACAAATAATTTTTAATTAATCTTCGATAATTTAGTATACATTTGATGCAGCTAAATTAGCTGTTGGTGGTTCACTTAATCTTCTAGATAGTATAATGACCAATCAGGTAAATATTTTCTTAAATATAAATTTATTTTATTATTGTATTTCATCAAAAGTGTCGAAATGGTTTTGCTCTTGTACGTCCACCAGGTCATCATGCATCGAAGAATGAAATAAATGGCTTTTGTTTATTCAATAATGTAGTTATAACAGCAAAAGCTGCTATCGAAAAATATAATGCGCAAAGGTAAATCAATCAAATTATAATGAATAATTCTATTTGTTTGTTTTTTTTTCTATTAGAGTTTTAATTCTCGATTGGGATGTACATCATGGTCAAGGTACACAATATGCTTTTTATGATACTAATAAAGTTTTATATATCTCAACTCATCGATATGAGCATGGTGCATATTGGCCACAACTAGCAGAATCAGATTTTGATCATATTGGAGAAGGTGATGGACGAGGTTTTAATGTGAATATACCATTAAATAAAGTAAGAATTTTTGTACTTATTATTATTAATGAAATTATATAAATGAATATTTAGACTGGATTAAAAAATGCTGATTATATGTATATATTTTTTAATATTATTTTACCAATTGCTTATGAGGTAATAAAAGAGATTTTATTCAATAAAAAGAATTTCAATAGATATTTTATTAGTATGATCCTGATTTGGTACTTGTCTCAGCTGGATATGATGTAGCTTTGGGTTGTCCAGAGGTAATAAAATAATATCTGTTATGACTGATATAAAAGAAATTCGATTAATTATAGGGCGAAATGAAAGTTACACCTGATACATTTGCACATTTAACACATTATTTAAAAGGTTTAGCTAATGGAAAAGTGATGGTACTTCTTGAAGTAAGAATTCTTTTTTTTTCGAATGAAAAGTTAATTTGCACTTCACATAATTAGGGTGGTTATTGTATTGATACCTTAGCTGAAAGCGCTGCATGGACACTACGATCATTGCTTGGTGATCCATGTTCACCTTTACAAGCATGTGCAAACCCTGATTTAACGTACTAAGCATGATTTTTAATTAAATTTGAATATTTATTTTCTTTTGTACTAAAGAGTGAAAAAAACTGTTGCTTGCTGTAAAAATGTATTGAAAGATTATTGGCAATCATTACGTATTGATTTAACTGAAAAAAGTCAAGTTTGGATAGAAGAAGCATTACATAAACGGTTGGTTTAATTTATTTCGCGTATGATTATGATTCATAAAAGAAATATTATTTAGATCATTAAATGAATTGGCGACTAATGAAAATCGACCAAAGCAATATGATTTAACTCCTACACTCATTATTGATCGAACAGGGGAACAATCAAAAAAACTTCAGCAAAATATCAAACGTGCAATTGAATTAGCACCACATCACAAGCCACTAGAAAGGGGGTAAAATAAAGTTTTTGTACTTTAGATCAATATTTATTATTTTTTTAGACCAACACTTCTTGTTTATGATGAACTTATGAGAAAATTTAGTGTTGGGTAAGTCAAATTACGTATGGATAGATAGAAATATTTTATTTTGTAATTATTTAGTAATCATTGTGAGCGACCTGGACGAATTGTAGCAATATGGAAAGGTCTAAAAAGTCGTGGTCTTGATCAACGTTGTACAATGATTCCAAGTCGTCATGCAACTAAAGATGAAATTCTTCTCGTTCATACTAATAGATTCTATGACGATTTAGAAACGACAAAAACGCAGACTAAAAAAGAATTACAGAAGCGAGAAGGTGTAAGCCGTTCTGTCGACTATACAAATGTATGTTAAATCCATATTTAATTTCTTTTCAATATTATAATTTGTTTTCTATTTAACAGGAAGTATTTGATAATGCTCTTCTAGCGGCCGGTTCTTGTTTAAATATGGTTGATGCAATAATGACCGATAAAGTGAGAATTAATTCTTGATTTTCAAAAGTTAAGTTTTATATTTAGGGACGAAATGGTTTTGCTATTATCCGTCCACCTGGTCATCATGCGCATTCCGGTATGGATTACGGTTTTTGTTATTTCAATAATGTTGCTATTTGTGCAAGATATTTACAGAAGAATTATAATCTTCAACGGTATACATATAAAAATAAATTGAATCATAGAATTTATTTGATGTTTCTTTTAAGAATTTTAATCGTTGATTTTGATTATCATATGGGTGATGGAGTCAAGGTAAATATCTCATTTGAGTTATATAAGATTCAACTTCTACGTCTTTATTTCTTTAGGATGTTTTCTATGAAGACCCAGGGTAACATACAATTGTATTAAAATACAGTTTTTTTAAAAAGCAAAAATATTTTTAGTGTACTCTATATATCATTACATTGTAATGATGCCTTTCCACCAAATGAAGGTCATCCGAAGGATAGTGGAAAAGACAAAGGACTTGGATTTAATGTCAATATAGGATGGTTAAATTTTGTAAATATATATTTTTGTTAAATTAAATTCTATTAAATAATATTTCTTTCATAGGATCCACCAGCTGTTGATGCAGATTATATAAATGCTTTTCATCATGTAGTTTTACCAATGGCTTATGAAGTAAATATAAAAAAAATGATTTGTTTTTATTTCAAAAAATGAACTTTTTTAGTTTAATCCAGAATTTGTATTGGTTTGTGCTGGTTTTGATGCAGCAGAAGGAGATCGAATTGTAAGTTTGAATTTACTTTTTCTATTAAATAAATTACTGAATTTTTCTTTTATGTAGGGTTGGGGAAAATTAACAGCTTGTGCTTATTCCCAAATGACTCATATGTTACTTCCATTAGCTAATGGTCGAGTTTTGGAAGTCCTTGAAGTTCGTATTTCACTATAAAATTATTTCCTTGTACGATAAATTCTTATTTATTTAGGGAGGTTATTGTTTGCATCAATTAAATATTTGTGGTTCAGCTTGTGTAGCTACACTTCTTGGTGATGTACCTGTTCGTTGTTCTGAAGATTCTGCTAAATATCCTCAAGATGATGTGTATGTTATTTAGTAAAACAAAGACTATAAGATAATTTTTTTTCTCTATAGATCTGTTCGAACTATTCAAATGATTAAGGATATTCATCGACCATATTGGTCATCATTATTTACAATTCCTGATGAAGGTAAATTTTTTTTCAAGAAAATTTTTGTAAAATAAAAACATTTTTTTGTTTAGATGATAATGAAATTGATAAATTAGCAGAGAATCTTCAAAAAACGGCTTCAATTAAAAATTAATGTTGTTTTTGTTTGAATATTTATATAAAAAAAAATGAAATTTACTATTCTTAATAAACGAAATTTGCTTCTTCCGTTTTTTTTTGTTTTTTGTTTTCTTTTCATTAATAATAGAGTTATTGTAGATAATGTCGGAAGGGATTTTAGCAAAAGTTGGACAGTGGTTTAAAATTATGCGCCATTATGGCGGCATTAAAAATACAGTTTTATCACTTTATCGGTAAGAAATCAATAGGCATTCTATAGTAGATTACAATTCATATATATATATATCTAGTTATGATGATTTAAAAACTGGAAATTTTATTGGTGCTGATAAGTATGGAAATCGTTACTATCAAAATACACGTTATTTTGTTGGTAAGATTAGAAAAATGTTTACTTTTTCATTACTGAAAATTGATCTTTGTTTTCAGGTCGCAGTCGATGGGTTCAATATGCTGATCGTGTTGGACTTGATTATGATGCAAGTCAAGTTCCCCCAGAATGGTTAATAGATAATCGATAAAAATTGCGAATTTTGTTTTTTTATGTGTATTTTTAGGCATCGTTGGTTACAATATATAACCGATGATCCTCCAACAACAACACCCTTAAAAAAATACCCATGGATGATTGATCATATTGAAAATAGAACTGGTACAAGTCAAATTTATGTACCATACACAACTGTTCCACCTAAAATACAAAGTTGGCAACCACCCACACCATCGACAACAACACAGAATATATCTTCAACGAAGAGTCAACTTCAATAACTTTTAAAACTTTCTTCCTTGACCCTTTTCGGTTTTTTTTGTAGAATTTAAATGATCCTTATCTCGTCCTTTTCTTTCATCTATAAGAAAAAAAAACAAAGATCAGACGATCAATTAAAAAATAAAACCTTGTTTTTATTTCCATACTAAAATAGCAAAATACAAACAAATCCTGATTTGTCTCTTCTATTTCAGCATGTAAAGGCATACATCATATTCTATTATCATACATTTAACATAAAACTTTCACATTTTCTTTCAATAATATAATAAAGAACTCATTTTCATTCTATCAAATCAAAGGCTAGTTTTTATACATTATATAAACGTTACGATTCATTAACTTCTTGATATATCACCTCATTTATTTTGAAAAAGAAATATATATAAAATAAAAAGGTGATATATTAAAGTATCATAAAAGTCGAATTTTGTTTTTATATTAATCATTAATTTCCTATACTGTTGTCAAGCACGAAAAGAAAAAATAAATGTTCGTAACAAACTTTTCTATCCAATCTAATAATCAAGTTGTTATTCATTTTCTCTTCTTCTCTTTATATACACGTGCTATTGCCTTGATCAGTTAATGAGACAATATCCTGATTACTGACTGTGTGTCATTATTCATTAGTCTGTTATTCATTGTTGATTGTACACGATCTTATATATATCTTATTCCAACTACAATTTTGAATATTATCATCAATCTTGGATTAACAATAAAAATCATCTGGTGAGTTTGTTTGTTTGGCGGGGGATGATATAAAGACTGATGAATGCGCCAATCAATCAATGTGGCGCCGATCTTTGTATTCTAAAAATATGAATAAAAATAAATAAAAATAAACAAAGAAAAAAAAAAAATATTTTCTTTTTCCAGATTTTATATAATCAATGCTTGTCAATCAAACAATTGGAGGAGAAAATAATCGACGTATTGTAAATTCATCAATTAAAAAATCTAAAAAACAACGACAAGATTTATCATATGGACGTAAATTACGTAGTTCAACAAATACAGATTCAATACAAAATAAAGTACATCAACAGCAGACAACACCATTAAAAAAAGAACGAAAAAAACGAATGAAAAAGATCATAAATCATTCAGAACAAGAAATAACAATTACGAAAAGTATTGAAGGAAGAAAAAATACTAGTAAAATAATTATATTGTTATAGAATTTTTAATTTTTGACACATATTTAGATGTACTTGAAATTAAACAAGAAAATGATTTTGTTAATAATTGTTCATTACTTGATCCATCATCAATGTCTCATCCACTATTTGATTCTATGATTGATCATAATCAGTTTTGGCATTCGAATCAGATAATAACTCCAACTGGTTATTATTTACCATATGATCATCAATCAAATACAAGTTATCATCTATCAACAAGTGATATCGATAATTCAGATTCACCTGTACATGATAATACGACAAAATCAAACAACAATTGTGGACAATCAAGAAAAGATAAATCACTTGGTTTACTTTGTCAGAGGTAGGATTGATTGAATATTTCAATATCAGAATGTTGTTTTTGTCGTGTACATTTCGTCTAGATTTATTTCAATGTATCCACCTAACGTTCATCCTGTAAGTAGATTTTCAATGTTTGCAATAATTTATAATTGGAGTTTTTTTTTGAATTCAAAATAATTTATTTTTTTCAAATTTCATATATAATATAATAGGGTGAAATGATTGTTATTTGTCTTGATAAAATGGCTCGAGTTCTTGGTAAGTTTATTCTGAATAATAGAAAAAAATATTTTATATAAAATTTAGAAACAAAACGAAGACGTATTTATGATATTGTCAATGTTCTTGAATCAGTTGAAACAATGAGTCGAATTGCTAAAAATCAATATCAATGGCATGGTCTTGGAAATTTAGGTCATACATTATCAAAACTTAAGGTTCGATTTTCAGTTCTTTTTGCTAAACAATGTAATTAATTTAACTCAAAATTCTCATGCTAAAGGTCCCATTTCCTGTGTTTCTTAATGAACCATACTTAAAATGCGGATACTTTATAGAGACATCTACTTTAGCTAAAAGTCCTATGATGAAATAACACGCCATATTCTATTATTATTTATTCGACTGAAGTCTTTTTTCTCTTGTGACTCATATTTATAAAACAATAGAGATTAAGGATACGCACATTAGTGTGAATATAACATACAAGACTGATTTTTTCAGACGTTAGCATATAAATCTGGTTTTGTTGAATTTGCTCGTTCAATTCGTGAACAAATCGATCAAATGGTTCTCTCGGGTCAATTAAATACCGGTCAAGGAACACAAAATGAAGCATTAAAATGTATTCAAATCGTTTCAACTGGTAAAAATGTTTCATCATCAGAAAATGATGAAGGTAAAAGAAAAATCAATCATATATACATATTTTTAAATGACAAGTTATTTTTATTCGATTAGTTGCTCGTGAAGAAAAAGCACTTGGTATTATGGCACAAAAATTTCTTATGCTTTTTCTAACATCCGATGTAAGTCAATTATTTTTATCATGAATTTTTTTTAACAACAAAATAATAATGAAAAGGATCGAATTGTGAATATTATATTTGCGGCTAAAGTTTTATTGGGCGATTCAAAAAATGAAATAACAGAATTTGGTCGTTATAAGAGTAATCATCATATAATTTCGATTCTATTTTGCATATTTATTAGTTCTCAGGATTTTTGTTTAATTAAGAATTAAGCTTTTTAATTATTATTTATAGCAAAAGTTCGACGATTATATGATATTGCAAATGTATTGTCAACAATTAATTTAATAACAAAAGTTACAGATCCAAGTTATCGTGGACCTCGACCTGCTTTTCAATATATTGGACCTCGAACTGAGATTATTCATCATGCAGAGAGTAAGAAGATTTTTGTTTCTAATAAAATCATGTTTGTGTTTAATATATAGATGTTGTTGATTTTATCAATTCGGAAAATACGAAATCAAATTCTAAACATTCATTATTTGATCATTTTAAACGAAATCTTTTTCTTAACTGTACTATTCCAAGATTTGATCCAAGAAATGGTTTACTTGGTCTTAAAAGTGCATTAGATATGAGTGGTCGAAGTAGTTCAGGTGTTACAGTTACTGGTGTTTATTCAAATTCTATTGGCGGAGGTTAGCTAATAAAAATTATAGTTTTGTCAAAAACATGTATCTGATTCATTAAAGTAACATTGTACAGAAAACTAATATCTTATTTCCTAATGATCCAGCTTGGAAATGTATTAGTAGACTATAAATAACTCTACGAGAGAGACATTTCGAACTGTTGATATTTTGAGAAGAATAATTATTGTTTTTGGAATAAATCAGTCTTATATATTATTGTTCGATAAATAATTTATTTTTAGTTAATCCCAATCTAGATGATGATATTCAACATCCAACAAGTAGTGAAAATTCACTAACAACACATAATTCAATATCCTATATTTCCGAATCAAGTAAAGTAAAAGCCGGTTGTGTAAATATATTGAAAATTTTTTTCTTATAATAGAAAAACGAAAATATTCTAAACATAATGATATTGATAATCAACATAAAAGTATTCTTGCTCCATCAATTGGATGTAAAATTTCTCTATTTTGTTTTCTTTTAATATTCATTATTTTCATTTTAGTTGGTAATACATCATCAATGAATCTCTTACCACAAGTATCTCATTCCGGTTATCTCCAATTTCCTTCACATGATTCATCGGTTACGTATGGTAATAGTCTTATTCTTTTACTGTAATTCTATCATTTTTTGTCATCGTTAGATTCTTCAAATCTTCTTACATATAATTGTCATCAAACATGGTTAATAAATGATGATAATTCCAATACTTCATCAATCAATAAAACAGCACGTCGTCGTAATTCAACCGTAGTTAATAATGGTCCAAAACGACCCGTTGGACGGCCACCAAAAAAACTTCAACAACAAAAACCTGATGAAATTATTCTTCAACATTCGGAATCAAATTCTTTAATTGAACAAACAACTTTAGTTAGAATTTTTATTTTCTGAAAAAATTTTTTTCATTTTTTTATTTAAGTCTGAACAATCAACAAATCTAAAATGTCATCCACAAGATTTACAAGATATTAATGTTGATGTATTAACATATCAAATGCGAAGTGTTCTTCCATCAATAAGTCATTCAATAAATTTAACAAATTCATTATTTAAACAAGAAGATATTTTATCACCAACGAATATTTATCATTATGATGATGATTTAATTGAAACAAATACTCTTCCAAGTATTAATTCATTTATGAATAAAAAATATCTTCTTTAAAAAAGAAAAAATACTCTTTGTGTTTTTTTTTGTATTCAATTTATTGTGCCATGAAAAGTTCACAAATTAAAGAGAGAGAGAAAGAGAAATAATAAATTTGATTAATCATTATATAAATAGGTAGTAGAAGTAAAGATGTGTATAAGTACAATTATCATAATGAAGGAGAGAGAAAAAAAGAAGAATGAAAGTATATTATTATTTCTATTTCTGAGTAAATGACATGTTCAATCGTTTTCTTTTGATTAAGAAAGACTCCTAATGTTCTCTACTTTATTGACAGTTATTGAGTAATATGAGATGCTTCGTTTTTTTGCTTTCTATTGTAATGCCTTCGGGTTCTATCTATCTATCTATCTTTATATATATCCATATAGAGATATATGTATTCATTGATTGTGCATCTGTATTTCTTGTCACTCTGTCTTTTGGCTTAGCATTTATAGAAGCCACAATAATTCTCTCGTTATATATATATCATCTTGTTGTTGTCTGTGGTTTTTCTTTTTATCATCAACAACGGCAATATCAGCATACAAAAAAGTCTTTCTTTCTTTCCTTCTTTTTCTGTTTGCTGTCTTCATTTTCTAGTGTTTTTTTCTTCTTCTTCTTCTTCTTTTCTTTATGCTATGCCGATGATCACTGTACTCAAGCAGAAGAAAGATAATGATGGTAGCTACTAACATACATAAGTAAATGCAACGACGATAACCAATAGACACCTCTCTTTTTAGCATTGCTACAACAAGGACAGAACTGACAAATTATTTGTTCATATTCGCTAAATGCATGAATGGCCTTTATCGAAGCATATAAAGAACTTTTAGCACAATATTCAACGACTGCTCTTTTCCAAATGAGAAAACAACAGGCATTACAATCTATTTGTGTCTAAACGAAGCTGAATCAATATTATTTACTTAAATATTTCCATTGCGTGTCGCAATCGCCATCGTCAACTGTCAGTTTTCTTTTCTAAGAAAAATATCTACGTGTATTCCAATATATTATTTATCTACATAATTATCTTTTTTCCTGTCGTAATATTAAAACATATGGTTTATAAACATCAGTTTCTTCGCATAAAAGAGTCTTTGAAAACTACGTTACTAATTAAGATTTTGAAATTTTATTTTAGATATAATTTTCATTTTTTTCTTGTTTCTCTTCGTAATTACATGAGCCGGTGACGTGTAAAACACAATTTAAAAAAATGAACAAAGAAATATTAATCGATGTCGGCTCTCAGTTGGCACATTTACGAATGTATCCAGTTTTTGACGTTTGTCATTATCTATTAACAGCATTGCTAGTTCGAGATGATATACAACAGCATCAACCAGGTAAAAATTCTTAGTTTATAATAGAAACAAATAAGTATAAGAAAACGTTTACATTACCATTGTCTTATGATTTATCACAGACATATTGTTATTGTCATTTTTAGCTACACAAAATTTTACACGTCGTCATCCATTATCATGTTGGTTATCAACAATGTTACTAAGTTTTGCTGGTTCAATTTTATCTAATTTTTTACTTGGTGAAAGTCCTATAAAAGATTTTGCTCATCATCAACATCTTTTACTCGCAACTATATGTTGGTATCTTGTATTTTATTCACCATTTGATATTATAACACGTTTATTACGATTTGTACCTATACGAATTATTGTTGGTGTTGCAAAAGAAATTCAACGAACAAAAAAAGTTTTCGATGGAGTTCATTCAACACTAGCGATCTATCCCGATGGTTATCTTATTGTTGTTCTTATTGGAGCTATTAAAGGTAATAAAAAAAAGTAAATAAATCATTGAAATTCTATAATTTGCTTTAGGTTGTGGTGGATCAATTATATCATCAATTGATCGATTTATTCGTGGTGTTTGGTTACCTACACAAACAGAGTTTCTTTTTCCATCTTTGTATGTATTTAATTAACGTATATGTTAGACTAATTTAATAATACATATTAAGAGAGAAAGTCAAATAGAAAGTTGTTAAGTTTCTAAATTATCCTAGGGTCACATAAGAAAGGTCAATTTATATACAGTATCTCAATAATTATCAGAAAAGATTTATCAGTTGAAAAAAAATTGTTCTAAAATATCTTTCTTTGTCGTATTATCTAGATGAAAATAAGGAAGGATTTTCTTTTACCCATTCATCTATAAACAATATCTAATCAGACATCATTGCGTATAACCTTGACGTAAACATTTATTTTCTGCTCAGATTCCAAACAATTGATTTAAGTTTAGTTAGAATTTTCCTATAGATAAAAAAGATGCATAGACACTCTTATATTCTTGTTATGTCGATTAATTAAATCAATTATTTTTATTTTAGTGCAACAAAAGCATGTTTTATTTCTGCAATAGTATTCTTATTAGAATATCTTCAATTAATTCAATTTGAACGTGAATTAGTTTATTTATGTGTTGCTTCAATGTTTATATATGTACGCATAATAACTATATTTTTTAAGCAATATGATCCTTTAATGCCATTTGAAAATCTTTCATCGGGTATATTATTTAATAGTTGGTCAGAAACAATTGTAAATATAATTGATTATGATTTATTTTAATTTTGCTAAATTTATTAAAATTCTATTTAGTCTGATGCATATCGAAGAGCAACTGCTTCTTCGACAATCCCAGGTGCAATTAATGCATCAACTCAACCACAAGCAACAGTAATACCGGCTGCTCTTACGCCACTTACTGCTACAACAACAATGATTAGTTCAAAAAAAGAAACAAATAATAATGATGGACAAGTGAAAAGCCTTGACGTTAAAAAACGAGATTAAAGAAAATATTCGTTTTGATTTATTATTTGTTCTATTTCTACAATGCAAAGGAAAAGAAAAAGAATACCATCCTACTAATCATCATTCTTGTAGATTTAGTTACTAACCTTTTCTATTTTCATTTTTTTCTTATACACTCACATATATTCTATATTCATAATATGATGCACTTGAACAACTAAAAATAAAAGAATAAGAAATAAATATTGAAAATATATTAAGAGAGTCATAGAATCAAACACTCAAATTTAAGATATGTTATTAGATTTTCATGTATGGAAAAAGGAAGTTGTATTAGAAAGATTCTATAGGGCGGTGTAATTGAACATCAGTCTTGAATAAAAGATTTCACGCCACGTAACTAAATATACACTCTGGAAAGGAGACTACGCATGGTAATTCAAACTGCTATACGAGGGAAATTTATTGACAAAAGTATGATTATATTTTTACTGAATAGTATTTCTCTTTTACCTACATATTTTTTTCTAAAATCGAATATATATTTCACTGTTTATTCTAGTTGTGTTAAAATTGTGAATATTTTCTAAATGTACACACAAATGTAATAAATCATCAGATTACTTTGAAAATTCAAGTATAACAAATGTCTTTATATACATTTCACAAAATATATTCTTTTCTTGTATTCATTACTATATTGCAGTATGAAAGCAAAACATCATTTTCTATGAACAAAAATAATGTATGAATACTTTAACAAAATTGAAAGGCTGCTATGAGAAGTTATAAACATTACTCATGAACTATGACATACAATTAGATAGAAATATAAATATAGAAAAAGTTCTGCTGTAAAAATAGAATTTTGTTGCCGTAAGTATTTTTTAACATTCAGTTTGTTGTTTCATAAAAGGTTAGCAATTGATAAGAACACTGATTGACACACACATACAAAGAAATTTGACATAGTAAAAGAGAAAAAAAGTCGGGCAAAAGCGTTTAATGGACTATCTTGTTCTTATCACTTCACTGCCAATCACCCACAATTGACGCTTCCATACTTCACGTCTTGTGTCGACAGAAAATTCATAAAATATATTCTTATTCATGATGGTTTTTTAGAAAAATATTTTAAAATGAAAAATTCCAGAGCTGAGCTTGATTTTTTATAATATCTGTACTGCTGTTTATGTGTGCTAATGAAAGATGTCATATCTAGATAAGAATGTTTTACACCTTCCGCAAGTCTGTTAGAGAATATACTGTTTTGGTCAAAATCCATACTAGGACAATATGTTTTTTTTGTTACATTAAATTCAATTAGTGTGAGGGTTCGAAATGAATAGATATTCAAATATTTAAAAGGATGACTCATGTATGCGAGAAAATAGAATTTTTTCGAATGAATGATTCTAACCCTCCGGAGGTGTTCTCGCTTAGTCACACGAACGATGTATGTTGGTCCAAGTGGACCCACACGTAAATACATAAGGAAAACATGAAAATTCATCTGTGTTGTAGTATATAAGATAGATCAAGGTCTATACCATGATCTCCTTTCAGTCACTGATGCATTGATACGCTTGTAGTATACGTAAGATGCTGATTTTTCAAGAAAAAAGAGGGATTACGCTTGTCGTGAGTAAAAGTTAAGAGAATGGTGAAAATATTTCGATAGATAAATAAGGATAGAGAAACACATTATTCCTTACTCATAGCAACAAACTAATCAATCTCCAATAGATAGACCTTCGAAACAATAGAGGGCATACGTAATACGAATTAAAATCATCTATATAACACGAATGTTGTCAGGGGATCCAAACGGACCTGCACTCTAGTTTTTGATTGCTGATAGTTTTGCAAGAAATCTCATATGGTTCTTATGTATCATTAGAAGAGTAACGATTAGCGAAAAGATCGCTTCGAATTGCATAGATCTTAAAATAGAAAAAAACAAAAAGACACTATTGTGGGCCTCTTGGACTCCCAAACACCGCCGGAGGGCTAATCAACATAAGCTAATGTTAAAAGTTAAAATATGAAAACAAATTTGAGTCTATTTGACTCTTGAACAGATCGTAACTTGGTCTCTATTCAGGTTTAATTTTTTCTTATTCTATTAAACTATTAGTTGATCTTTCAACTTATAGTTCCTATAATTCAAATAAAAATAGTTTTCTTTATAGACAGAGTTGTCATGAAAAGAAAATTATTTTCTGTATTTAGAATCGCAGAGATAGCTATTATTCCTTAAAAAAGCTTTTAAAAAACTTCATTTCAGAAGAAATACGTCACTTAAATAAAAGTATTTTGTAAAGATACAAGAGCTCTTCAAAGTGCTCAATATAACATAAGAATATCTTATTTCTGACAAGAACCTATTGTCATACGGACATTTGATTATACAAAATAGACAATGAAATATTACTGCCTACTATTTGTAATTTTCTTATAAAAAGAAAAGAGAAATGTTCTCAGTAGAACATTAGGATCATATACCTTCTACTATAATATAACTGATCGATATATTTATTTTAGCGTGCTTGTCTGTCCTGTAATATGCCAAACTGTTCAGTCAATCTTTCATTATACGGTACGTACAAGTAATAGCTTTAAAATTATCACCATTAGTTGAATGTGCTTATAAACATAAACTAGATATATGTTCTAAAAAGAATATCTAATTGGTCAAATATTTCTTCAGAACATAATTTATTTTAGAATGTTTTATGAATGATTATCGTACTATCAGTTTATACATGACTATAGAGAATTATTATGAGACATGAATTGAGCTCGAATCTCTGGATCGTTCATTTCCGAATCGAACTTCTTTATTAAATTGGTAGAAATCGAAGAAAAATATTTTATAGAGCAAAAATATAATCGATAGAATATAAATGAAGATTTATGAGATTGAAAAACAAATGCTATTGTTAGATCCATATAACGCTTATAAGATCTGATTCATTCACATTACGAAATCAATTCATTTCAAAATTTACTAAAGATTAAAAAGAATTTAGTATATAAATCAGATAATTATTGGGTACTTCTGTACCTATGACATAATATACCTTTCGGAAGTTAAGCGAGAAAGTAATTCGATCAACTTGTGTTTTCAGAGAGTTCATAACTTTACAGGTTGAACCTGCACCGTAAAGATACTCTTCTGAACTCTACTCGATAACTCATTATCTTTTTCAATAACAAGTATTTAAAATAAATTTACTATTCAATTAAGTTGTTCAAGTTTATATAGCTTTTATTTCTTTTATTTTTCACTTCAATCCTATAACAACTTAGCAGTTCTACCAGTTGTTTTTCAATCTTAACTGAATATACATATATTTTACGGATATTTCCAGGTATTAATTATAATAAGAATCGGTATATTAGATTTACTTTTTTACCATTTCCTTCGAAAGGATCTGCTCGTTAGAGCTCTAAGAAAATTATATGCACGTTCGATGAACGCTATATTTTTTTGCACTCTGAGTTTATTGTAAGATATCATATAGGAAAATTTTGGTCAAAAATATTTTCTAGAGACGCAAAAAACTTACGAGTAACGAAGGGTAAATAATTCTTCCAGAACTTTGATCTCACTTTTTTTTTCTTCAAAATACTTCTTCCTCCTCCTTCTTTATTATTCATTTTCAATGCTTCTATATGCACTTAATTAGTATAATCAACTCATTCCGTAAATTATTAAAATAATTTTATTAACATACAGAATAACAACCATCGGTGAATCAGTTCAAAAGGGATTTATATGATGTCTTTGACACGCGATTAAACTTTTATGTCAATATTCATAGACGAGAAAATAGATTCTATTTTTAGGCAGTATTAATTGAGATAGAGCTTTTTAATATGACACTTCTAGCGTCTGACATTCTCTATCAAACAAGGATGTATTTCTTTCAGTACTATCAGAAGCAATAAAAATTCATAATACATAAGACATAATGCTAAATCCGTACATCATCAATCCTAAGTGAGACAGATAAGAAGATAGGTAGTCTCATTATATGATGTTTTTGACTTTTACTCTTTCAAATAAAATCTGAATGTAATACCATCGTGATCTTATCTTTAAGAAAACGATGACACAAATCTATCTAATCGATATAGATTATTAGTGATAAAACACGTGTATATTGGCAAAGATCAAAGTGATACTATTAGTTAAAGTGCTTACGTCAGAGATTTTAAGACAACACCTACGTTTCATAAGTTTTCTCATTCTATTTTTTATTGTTTATCATATTTTTTACACTTCTTTTCATTAGTAAGTCTAACGCGATCAACACTTTATATTATTCATCATCATTTTAGTGTTTTCATAAAAACAGCATGCAAAGCAATTAAACTTATTATAAAATCATAATAAACTCTTTCATGTTGAAAATCACACTTTGCATGTGTCATTTTATATTCTAGACTTTTATCATAACTCCGAGTCTATTGGACGTTAATATGTAAGTTTAAATATTTATTCTTTTGATGTGATATTTTCGTCTTTATTAAATATTTCCACAAATAAATAATAGAAAACTTCTCTTTCATATTTTTGTGACAAATCATTATTTGTATTTCTGAATCACAAGAAAAATACTCTAGAGAAGTAGGTACATATGAATAAATACATAACCATTTGAAATAAGCTAATTCAAATTACAATTTTTTTTTGTAAGTGTGCTGGGTTTGATGGACATCGAGAAATGACTTTTTTAATTATAATGTACTTATATTAATTAGATTTTGTGTGACAGACGTTTAATCAGAAACAAAAGAATACTTTTGACATTGAGAAATAGTGTTGTTATTACAAGCTGTGAGTAGGTTTATCTACATATGATCTGACATTGTTTTGCATCATAAATATGAACATAAGATTTTATTTCATATTTAATTGATAAATAAGTAGGAAAGTGTTACTTAATTAAATTTACAGTTGATCTGTTTAGAAAATATTTGCTCTTTATAAAGTGTTCATTTAGTTGATTTTATAAATCTATCGAGTTTTTTTTCTAATAAATATATGCTCTCATTATAATCTCTATGTCAGGAAGTATAAAACAAATGGTTTAGTACTTTTTTCTATTTATAAGGAATTAGAATTTTCTCTTCTTTCATAAGAAAAGTATGATGAACGGATGGAAAATACGCTAATCATTAATAATTCTCATTACTATGAACTAGTTATGAAGTACAATAGATAGCATATTTAAAGTGTACGTATACAACTGAATGGAATCATATAACTCGTTTATACTCCCACTTAGCTACATTTTTCTTTAAATATATGTATAATTTATCTTAGTTTTTATTTCTTACGGTCGAACAGTTCTAATAAAATATACATATTTGTGTTTATGTTATAAAATGTGGAGACTGTGTACGTCTGATAGATATTTATTCACTGAATCAGCTCTAAGTCTATTGAGTTTTTTCTTCTTATAATATCGTTATTACGTACTAATTAATTTCTTCTTTGTTTTTTTAGAAAGTAAAACAACTATGACTGGTAGGTTATCCAATTGTTTGCTTTATATGTTGTGAAAACTAGCGGTGTTATTAATTTATACTGAATTTTTAAACATTTATTTGAAACAATATGCTTTAATCTTAGATAATAGTTTAATTATATCTTTTTTAATTATCAAATTTCGATTATGTAAAGAACAAAAAATAGGATCAAAGAAATGAACTGCTGCATTTTGTATCTTAAAATATATTTTATCATGTGATGTACTAATACTTATTAACAAAATATCGTTGTTTTTTTTTGAGATAAGTATAAATTGATAAAAACATTTTTCAATTTACTTGAATACATTATTTTTTATTAAAAGTCATGTATTTTCATGACCGCAATAAAGTTATTGATCATAGAGTTAATTATGTAAGACACTATGAAGGTGTGTTTTTTTCTGAGCATCATATGACAACGCTTCCGGTAAAAATTCACATATATAAGACGTTATCAATATTTCAGATTTCTATTCATTTCACAGTGATAAAACTTTAAAAATTATTCTTCAAGTTTGATTCATTTATTTTTATTTTTAATGACTGAAGTCGATACTGCTAGTGTTGCATGGGTGTTAGTCTCAACAGCACTCATCTGGATTATGATTCCTGGCATTGGTTTATTCTATTCTGGTATGACAAAACGTAAAAGTGCGTTGTCAATGCTATGGCTAAGTTTTATGGCTATGGCTGTTACTTCTGTTCAGGTATGTACATACATTTATTTATCTTTTACTTCACAGTTTTTTGAATTATAATAAACATTTGTAATCTATATTTTTAGTGGTTTCTAATTGGCTATTCACTGACTTTCAGTATGTCTGGGTCACGATTTATTGGTGATTTAGCTCATATTGCATCTATTAATGTTCTTGATGGACCAGCACTTGGATCATTAACAATACCTGATATTGTATTTTGTATATTTCAATTGATGTTTGCTGCGACATCAACAACAAGTATAATATTCTTAGTTTGAATATATAATTGAAATTTTTATTTCTTTACTTTAGTTGTAACAGGAGCAGTCTGTGAACGTGGTCGTATGTGGCCAATAACTGTCTTCACTTTCGTTTGGTGTACATTGGTCTATAATTTCGTAGCATGTTGGATTTGGTCACCTAATGGTTGGGCGTATACACTTGGGGCATTAGATTATGCTGGCGGTACTCCTGTTCATATGATTGCTGGTGCATCAGCTCTTGCCTATAGTCTACTGCTTGGTCAACGTCCACCAGTTACTCAAATTGAACAAAGTCGACCACATAATGTTGGTAATATATTTCTTGGTACTGTTTTATCATGGTTTGGTTGGTTTGGTTTTAATGGTGGTAGTGGATTAGTTATTGGTAGTCGTGCTGCATTAGCTTGCGTGGTTACAAATTTAGCAGCTTGTACAGGTGGTTTTACTTGGTGTATGCTTGATTATTTTCTTACAAAACCACGATATAAATTTACTGTATTTGGTTTTTGTATGGGTTCAATGGCTGGTCTTGTTTGTATAACACCTGGATCAGGTTATGTTAGCGCACCATCTTCACTTGTCTTTGGTATTGGTGGTAGTACATGTGTATATTTTGGTAGGAAAATAAAAACTCTTTTGAAAATTGATGATGCATTTGATATATTTGCACAACATGGTATTGGAGGTTTTGTTGGATGTTTATTAACAGGTATATTTGCTCAAAAATACATTCCAGCACTTGACCAAGTCACTATTGCTGGTGGATGGTTAGATGGTAATTGGATACAAATGTCTTATCAATTAGCACTAACAGGTAAGAGAAAGATTTGATAGTTTTCTCTAAAAGAAGATTATCTTTTATTTTTAGGTGCCGCTTTTGTTTGGAGTTTTGTAATGACATTAATTATTTTATTTATTATGAATAAAATTCCTGGTTTAGCATTACGTGCAAGTGAGGAAGCAATAAGCGAAGGAATTGATTATGATCAATTTAATGAATATACACATGATTATATTGAATATCAACGAGATCTTTACATAACACAACCAACATCTGTAAATAGTTTTATGACAGTTACACCAGTTGATAATATTGATAATGAAAATGTAGTACAGAAACAAAATGAAATAAAAATGGTTAAGATTAACACAATACCAACTATACAAGAGGCATGGTAAACAAAATAAAATATATTATTTTTAAATTAACAATCAAGAACGAAGCTCACAATGAACTAATCATATTTTTTTACTTATTATAAAAAAAAAGAATAATTTATAAAAATAACTTGTTGTGTTTTATGTCCATAGTGCATATAAAACTATTTTTTTTGTTAATATTATTGTGTAAAAAATACACATGAATAAATTATTTATAAAATTATTTTGATGTTTTGCTAGTATAAGACATATTATGTGTTTGTAACAATTTAACAATGTAGATGAAAATTATAATATAGATAACATTTCAGGATGATCTATACTATCTTCACTCTATTTCCGACAAAAGGAAAATAATAGATTGCTATAGTAATGCCATATCAAATCAAATGTTTTCAATTAATTTTATTGTTTTTTCTATAGACTAATATATAAAGTATTTTTATAAGACGGAAGTTTGGTTTTTCGAAGTTTATTATCCTAATGTCTATTGTTTTAATATCATGAAATAAAGTAGAATACAAATTATCCTAACTTGACCCATAATAAAAATTGAGTATGTTCTTCGTACTCACGTTACGTCTGTCTACTATCTTTCTGTAATAGAAAATAGTTGAGAAATATTAATTATAAGTAAATTTTTGTATATTGAAATTGAAAATGTCTATCAAACTGATACTACTACGTAGTTTAAACAAATATATATGATGAGTTTTTGAATAAAATTACATCGCGTAAAAAACACTCTTAAATTAATATAAAATATATGGTCACGGCATTGCTATAGAAACATGTTGTCAGTATTTTTTCATCAAATAGATGAGTAATACTTTGAACTTTTCTAAAAGTCCTATACATAAATTTGAAGTGATATATTCAATTGAAAGAGTTCTTCTGCTAATAAAATAATTATACTTATTGCACTGCTGAATATTTCAAGACAGTATTTTAAATTTTATAAAACACCCAGCATAGAAAGTTTTACTATACGAATGTATTGTGAAATATTTTATCTACAATGACGCATATAACAACTCTATATTGAATCATATTCTAAGAGAAGATTTTTAAAGAAGTTCTGATAAACTATCAAAAAGAATAGAAATTTGTATATATTGAACATTTTATAAAACAGAACTAGAAATAAATTTTTTTCTTGTAAGATTTTTATTTGATTTTATTAGATCTTTCGCTTAATTCAAAATAGAATTATTATATTCACAAGATATTTTATTATTTATGTATCTCAAAATATCGAAACAAAATAAAAAATCACGATATATTATCATTTCATAAAAATATTTGTATTAAAAAAATCCATTAACTATTAGCGTCATCTTGAATGCATTCTATGATGGGTATATCCTTCAACGTATTAATAAACACTTCGTTTTCTACATTATTTTCATAGGCTACAATCAACCAATAAATTTTTTCTATATTTATGTAATGTATACGTTCTTTCAATTTATATTCGACAGTTGTTTGAAGCGTGGAAAAGAAAAGCATGATGTATAAATGTGTACACATTCTTTTCGCTAATGGCACTTTTTCATGCATGCATAACCTTGCATAAATTTTTCTTTTTGTTTGCTAAGAAACGATAAAAATCAACTTTTTTCTATAATTTGTTATGCATCTATTTATATAACCAAATGACTTTTTCGAACCTGTTTAGGATTGAAACATTTTAGATCCTCTATTAATAATGTCGGAATATTGTAACAATTGTTTTTGTTGTGGTTGCTATTTAGTACCACGATATAAACGATTAGTCAATAATGTATTTCCACAAAACCCACAAGTAAATAAAACAAAGGAATTTAGCTTATTAATTATTTTGATTTATTTAGCATGGTCTCGATAAAAATAATCTCGAACGATTACGTTTCTATGCAGTTGTTAAACCAGAAAAACTCGATAAATCATTCCGTTATATGGCAGAAAAAGTAGCACGATATTTACGTCATCGAAATAAGCCGTATGAATTCTTTTGTATATTTAATTAAATGAATAATAAAATCTTTTTGCTTGATATTTAGTTATGTTATTCTTGGTATTAAAGCTATGAATGATACGATGAAATCATGCTATCAACAATTAAATACATTTGTTGATCATTATCTTGATGCATTACGTCTTGTACTTGAAGAAAAAAATGATTTAGAATTAACTGAACATGCTGTTTCTTCGGTATAGTTTTTGTTAATAATATGGAAGAAAGAATAAATATAATTGAACATTTGTTTAGTTCGAATCATTTTGTGAGATTCGCGAAGAAGCACCGAATTACCAACGAAATTATGAATTTTTCGTTGATCGTTTTACTGAACTTTGCCATAATAATAGTGATACTAACAAAACGAAGTAAGAATAAAATTTCGAGAAAATATTTTATTAGAAAATACAATTCATAGATTTCGCTGTCTTGGTCTTCGTGGTCATCATGCATTGATTCGAAAAACTGCTAATGATGAATTACAAAATGATGTCTGGAAACATATGGATAAAATCGTTCCATCAGTTATATTCAATATGGAAGTACGAGAACAAGATCGACAATCTACTCCGTATGATTTAGAGATTTTGTCAGATGATTATTTTTTATTTTTTTCTCAAGTATGACACCAACATCATCACAAGATAATGTTGGTGGAACAGTAACACCTGAACAGATTGAATTAATTGATCGTGGAACAGCGATTGTCAATGATAATCCATCTGTTTTAGCTGAAATTGTTTTACGAGATTTATTTTGTCGTGCACATTTAAATAATATAACTGCTTGTGTACAACCAATTCTTACGTAAAAAAAACTAAACTAAAACATTTTCTGATTAAAATCAAATTTGTTTTTTTTAGACATTTAGATAATCATGCTAAATGGATTCCCGTTGATTTTCCCAAATATATTTTTTCTGGTATAATGAATTCAATAAAAGTAAGATTATTTACCTTTTTTTCTTCTTATTATCAATCTTTGATTATTTAGCATCATAATAGTTATTTAATTATCGAATTACTTCTTGGACATCTTGAAAAACATTTTGATCAAGAAGATACAGCGAATATAAAAACATCAATAATGAATGTTATTCAAGATTGTATGGTTTTTGCTGCTGCAAATACAGGAGCTGGTAAAGAAATTTTTTATTTTATCGAAAAAAGAAACATTTTTATGTTAAAAAAATTAGGTTCAACAATGTTTACTGGCATATCACGTTTATTAAAATTTTTAAAAAAATCATTTCAAATTCAAAGTTCACGTAATAAAATTTCTTCAGTTAATAATCAAGATGAACAACAATTTCAAACAGCAGTTATCAATGGAATAGGTATGAATAATTATGAATCATATATATATATTTTGTTTTAATATGTAAAATAGGAGATTTTGCGGAAAAATTACCAGATTTTCAAATGATGGAAATCATGCAATTTATTATAACATCATTACCATCACTTAGTCAAGGTTATGAAGAAGCAACACAAGATTCGAAGTTAGTTATTAACAAAAAAAATATTTTGTTTTTTCAATATTAATTTTTAGAGCTGCAAATTTAAAACTTCAATTATTACTTCTTAAAACTGTGCAAAAAGTATGTAAATTTAATAAAAAATATTTTTCTTTTTCTTTTCGTTATTTTTTCTTATTAGTTCTAAAGATATGAGATACTTAAAAATGAAAGAATAAGTGTGTGTGTGTTTTGCTCATTGCTCATATTTGATTGAAATGTAAAAGGATTTTTGTATCGTAACATTTTTCATTTTTTTAGGTTGCGGCTACCTATCAAACCGTTCATCGTCGTGAAACATCAACGCAAACAACATTTCCTCATCAACTTTTTGATCCATTACTTAAAATGATGAGTGCACCAGAACCAGAAATTCGTTTAATTGTATTAGAAATTCTTCAATCATTAGTCGATCGAAGACAATATGCAGATAAATTACGTAAAATAAAGTAATTAAATAGATTTTTCTAACGACAAGTTAAGTGAGCTTCAAATTTGAAGTTTTTCGGCAAATCGTAGCTTGTAACTGTATGCTTTTCTCTCCTGAGCATCACTGGTCGACTTCGTACAGTCCAGAGCAGTTAAAAATAGATGATTACAGTTTTCGCGAAAACTTGGACAGCACATTTAACTTGACCTTTTCTAACTCGGATAATAAGAAAAATAAATTTTCATTCAATATAATTTATTTTTAGACTACCCAAAGATATATCTCAACTTGAATTACCAACAGAAACTAAACCAAATCGTCTATTTGATATTGCATTTATGAAAAAAGTATATATATATATAATTCTTTTGTTTCAAAGAAAATAAAAAACTCAATTGTTTTAGTTTGGTCGTCAATTTCTTTCTCAACTTTATCAATCAATTCTAATGGATAACAATACCAAAGATATATTCCATGCTATTTATTGTCTTATGAATCTTGTTACACTTGAAGCTGGAGATAAAGATGTTCTTGTCGATGTTATTCATTTTTGTTTTGAAATTCAAGTAAATCAATTTTACAAAATAAATATTTATTTTTTTTTTATTATTAATATAGTCAACATTAACCAAAATGTCTGATTCAAATAGCAATATTCAACAAATACCTCAAAGAAAATTATCGCGAATAAATCATCACAGTATTCATGCATTAATAGCAGCTTATTTTAATCTCATGTCCAAATTAAATGGAATAACAACATTTTCACATCATGTCGATGAAGTAAGAAATAAATATATTAGATAGAAAACCGAAGGGAACATATTTCGTTTTTTTAATCATTTCCGTAATTGATGGTTTATTAGTTTATGCCCTATAGGGAAAACATTTATGATGTATTTTGAGGTTCAAATCAAATTTCCTGTTTACACATATTTCCTTTTTTAGTTGATTTAATAATAAAAAATTAATATAAAAAAAAACAAAATCTAATAAATGCAAAAATTTTCTTTTGTTTCTCTAGGTCGTTCGTAATCGTGAACTCCGTGC